ATATATATATATATATATATATATATATATATATATATATATATATATATATAACGGTTTAAGAAGACAGATGTAATGTATCAGTACGCGATATAAAATATCTCCCCCGAGGCAAAACCCTACCTCGTGGGATTTTTGGTTCGTGTCCGCCTCCCGTGCTCTCAGTCCTCTCGTCCACCTCCGTTGCCATGGCTGCCGCCGGCGTCTCCCGATCTGCGATAGCCATACTTCGTCCCGCGCGCTATCTCCTCTTGGGCTCCTCGTCCTCCGCGGCCGCCGCGGCCGCCGTAGCTCACCCATTCGTGGGGCTCCGCGTTCTCCGCCCTTCTCCGGGCTTTCTTCGGCTGGCTTGGGTTGGGGCGGCCTCCCGCATCGGTGCGATCCGGTCCATGGTCCGGCGGGCAGGCGACTCATCCTACTCGCCTCTGAACTCCTCGCGGGGTGGTTCCGGGTTCAGCGACCGCCCGCCGACAGAGATGGCGCCGCTGTTCCCCGGTTGCGACTACGAGCACTGGCTCATCGTCATGGATAAGCCTGGGGGCGAAAGGGCCACCAAGCAGCAGATGATCGATTGCTACGTTCAAACCCTAGCGAAGGTCGTCGGCGGGTAACCAATCATGTTTTAATCTCTGAATCGCCTTCGCTTTCTGCTCCTCCTAGTAAAATCTATGGTTTGGTTGTTCTCAAGAAACTTATTTAGCTTTTCGAATTCATGCAAATTTCTAATTATATCATCTGCATTTTACTTTAATTTTCCGGTATTAGCGAGGAAGAAGCAAAGAAGAAAATTTACAACGTTTCTTGTGAGCGTTACTTTGGATTTGGGTGTGAAATCGATGAGGAGACATCCAACAAGCTCGAAGGTTAATATCATAATCCGTTCTTTGGAATCAATGTCTTTTTTCCCCTGTTTTTCCTAAGAAACTTAACTTTACACAAATGCTTCATTGCTGGCGACAAAGGTGTTAAAGACGAAAGATGGTTAGTTTTGTCTTCTGAAAGTTCATACTTTTCATTTGCATCTGCATCTGTCTGCTGCTAGTAGCTTTTGTCTATGCTTGAAATTGAATTCACTGGTCATGAGTGGTTTCATTCCTTTTTCTATCATAATTTTTGGCATTAAACCATTTTATTCTATTGTACTTTGTATTTGTACCATTCTGATTAATCTCACATCAGAAATGGATAAGATTAAGATTGACTTATAAAGGTACGATGGGTATACTATTGTCAATTTTAGTTTAAGCATTTTGTCCAGTGGTTTGGGTTTAATGAAGTTAACAAGTTAACTTATCAATCTCGGATCATAACATTTGGTATCAGAGATGATATACTATTGAGGCATGATGAGGGGTTCGCGTAGAAAAATACTACCCGTAGATAGAGTAAGAGGATTTGTCACGGCATGGATCCACCACTGGGTTATGACTCACATGCATTATGCTAGGGTTTGATATGGGCTATGATGGGCCTTGATGAAGACGTCAAGTTCTCAAATGGGGGAGATTGTAACATGTTGGGTCTTGATGAGGACGTCAAGCCCTTAAATGGGAGAGATTGTAACATGTTGGGCCTTGACGAGGACGTTAAGCCCTTAAATGGGAGAGATTGTAACACCATGATTAGTCCCACATCGGAAGCAGACAAGATTAAAATTGACTCATAAGGGTCTAATGGGTGTACTATTGTTACTTTCAACTCAAGCATTTTTTTTAGTGGTTTGAATTCAATGAAGTTAAGAGGCCAGCTAGCTCATCAGTTCTAGGTCGTGATAGTATCTCACTGTTGGAAGTTGCATTTCCTATTTTCCTTTGGTTGTTTGAGTTGAGAATTAAGATATGAACACTTGGAAGCTTGTGCCATTATTTGTGTTACCTCATTTTAGGTAATATGATCTGCAATGGCTGTTTCTGCTTATGGCAGGTCTTCCTGGTGTTCTGTTTGTACTTCCGGATTCCTATGTTGATGCTGAGAACAAGGACTACGGAGGTAAGCTTACTAGTTTCTTGAGAGTGCTTCTTATTTGTTCTCTTAATTAGGCTTGAATCTCATTATTATGCTAACCACATCTTTTTTACTAGGCTGCTTTTCTTATTTGCTTGTGTAAGATTGTAGTTTTTTTCTTATTGGTATGTTGTTTCTTTAGCCGATATTTGTCAAACAGATATATAGGCACATCTTCATTTCTGTTATTCCTATGATGCACATGCTTTCAGATCATTCCAAAGTGAATTGAATGCTATCCTCTAGCTGCTCTGCTTATATCATGTCTTTGATGGGAGAATTCAAACAACAGTTTGATATGCGTAGTGTGTTGGCAAACTTTAATGGTTTTATGAGGTAATGTTTTGCTTCAGATTTTAATGAACCTAATGACAGTGGATCATATGATGCCACTTGCAAAATGCCTCAATTGTATGCATGAATATTGTCTGTTTAGGCAGTGTAGTTCTTTTCAATAACCAGTAGAATGCTGTTTTGAGTATATTTAATTACTTTGCTACGATGGCTATTTGCGCATGACACAAGTTATGATGACCTCCCAATGTTTTTTTATTTTTTTAAATAGAACTGGCTATAAATCTCTATTACGGTTGTGGTGATCTGTAAATTCTTTTGTCGCTGTAAGTAGTTATTAGAACTCATGGCCGTGATGATGCATCAATAATATTCTGAAAGCACTCTCTCCTAACAGTTAAAATATGCAACTGTAAATGTTATCTTTTGCCGCTCTTGATGCAAGACTAGAATTGAAAATGGCTCTGCTTATTCTGCATTATGGTGTTGAACGGGCGCATGGCAGCCAACCTGTTTACGTTCAGCATTCTTGTGTTACAGAGAACAATATGCGATTCACACTCGATATGTTTGTTGAAATTGCAGCTGAGTTATTTGCGAATGGAGAAATAGTTCAAAGACCTCCAGAGAGGCAGAGGAGGATCGATGCAGCGACCACCCAAAGAAACGATAGAGATAGACCCAGATATAACGACAGGACTCGTTATGTCAGGCGAAGGGAGAGCCAACGATGAGCTGGTGGTCTTTTCTGGTAGGTATTAGGCTGGGCAAACAGTTGGAACTTAAACAAGCGATTTTCTGCTCATCTATTGTTGTGTGAGATACAAAACCATGTGATAACTTGAGCCGTGAATTGCTTCTCGGTTTGTTTCGCAGTCATCGTACGCTGATGTTACTTTGGGTACTTTGAACTTTCATGCCTGTGAGTTATTTCACTGGCACTTTCGTATTTTGAACTTTTTCCTTGTTATATCGCAAATGCTACATTCCTGCTGTGTTCTTGGCTTGTACTCGAATCAGTTAAAGATCATTGTGATCATATAATACAACAGGCTCGGTTCGAGTAACATTGCCTAAAGTTGTCTTCATTGATGTGCTTTATAGGTAACATATACTTCTAATATACTGCTAGTAGAAGAAAAATCACTGGAAATAGTGGCTTTATATGAACGACGAGATGCCGTAATTTGCACAGTTGGTGAACTCAACTGTGTACGCCAAGCACTACCGCCCTTCTTGTGATTGGATATCAGCGGCTAAAAGCTGAAGGCATTTCAGAAGGGGTAGAAAGCTATACAGTGCCACAATAATTGAACGTACAGTTTAAGGGGCTTTAATTACACAAATTTCAAGAGGCAAATTTATACACTTAATGAGGAAAATTTAGCTCCTAGTAATACTACTGACGCCAAAGGTTGAACATGTCAAACAAAAATTGTTACGATTACTAGTAATCAGAAAAAGAATAGTCTAACAAAAGTGTAACTCGAATAAATACGAGTAGGACTATCACAACTATTAAAGCACATCATCCGGTTGTTCTTTGACCGGCTAAGAGCTGTGGATCATAAGCAGAATCCTTGATGCGTCTTTACTCGACCCTCCCCGAGTCAAATATGTAAGATTACTTTCCAAAATGCAAGATAGATAAGTAATAATGTGCTTCAACGTCCTTTTCATATCATTGTTCCTCTTCACTGCTTTCAATCAGAACCGTATGTTTCTTCTTTTGCTTCTTATTGCCTTGTGTTTTACTGCCGCTAGCTGCACCGGGCACATCATCATCAACTTGCTCGGATTTCAGATAATGCTCGATCAGCTCAATAATTCTCTTCCCATACTTTTCCGTCTTGACTTTCCCAATCAGCTTTTGTAGCTGCAGGGTCAACATGGGACAACATAAATATAATATAGTATCATTTAGAAAGCAGTAAACCAGTCTTACGTGTGTTATGGATGTTGGTTTTTGGGTGCTCAGAATGCTGATTTGCTGAGTGGATAGAATAGCATGAGGCAGCATTCCCTCGTTACTTGAGGACAGCTCCTTGCGTAGCTCATCAAGCTTGATTTCCAATCCAGACATTCGGCCGCGCTTAGCACTTTTTGGCATGCCATCTTCATGCCGCCTAGTACAAATCTCAAGCATAACAGATTTCTTCCCTATGATGTAGCAATTCAACATTAAGTAGCAAGTCAAGGAAATACAACATATAGATAAATGTTGTATATCCATTACAGGTTTCTTCCCTATATGTTGTATTTATACAACATATATACAACATATAGGTACAGCTCAGAGAACATGCAATTACTTTTTTAGTCTTTCCTTGGACATTTACGCAATACATTGCTCAACCCCAAATGTACATGGTGTCATCTATTTTATAACTAACATGGCTACTTCAATTTATAATTGACCCTCCCTATGTGCAAACCTACTACTATATTTGAGATACTTCAGATCCACTAAAATCAATGAAAAAGACATCATAGGAAAAAAAAATCTTATTCTCTCACAATCGAACCTATAAATTTATGCCAACTTCCTAATGGGTGGATCTCTTTTACTTTAATTAATTATGTCATCCAGTCTAAAACAATTTCCAAAGTGGAAGTAAACAATGCTGTTTGAATAAAGGCCTTGTAATAGATAGCTGAAAGATGAAAGATCGGTACTTCCTTCCCTGAAGAATAACTTGCACATGCTCAAATTAGATTCTTTTCGTCCCACATCAATTTAATTGTGAAATTTATTATATAACTCATAATGCAGACTAGAGAGTCCATGTTGTTCAAAATACCCACTACATTAGGTGAGGTTTCCAGCAGTGGCAGCTAAGTTCTTAAAGGCTTGATTTAATTTTCTTTAGATTCTAGAATCTCTAAAATCATTAAAAGTTATTAGATTACTACATATCGTTAGTTAGAATCATATTCAACTCTTTGATCATTACCTGTATAATTACTTCATTTGATACCCCATTCTGAAGCAAATAAAACAAGAAAACCTAATTCACAGCAAATAAGCATGAGAAAACATAGCTGGCAGCAAATGAACATGAAAGAATCTAAGACATCCACGCAAAACAGTTAATTTCTTTTCCATCATGAGCACAGTTTTCTTCAGTCTTAAATTTTAGTAAGATTGTCCGAATTTCCAACACCTTTAATGGGTTTATTCACTATACTATCCATCTCATATGTCAGATACATCTAATTCAAGCTTCAGATTAATCCAGTCAAAGTTACAAACTTGTGTTTAATCTGTGTCAGATTAATCTACAATTTGGCTCCAGTCAAGTGATTTAGTGCAAGACAAGTAGGGTCATTTCCTGTCTAGATCACACTAGATATGATCCATTCAACTATATCAGTTTCAGGGGAAAGTGTCACTCAGTGATTATGATAGAAAAGAAAAGGAACAAAAGACTAAAAAGTGATAGAGATGTCACCTTGCAATACCAACTTCGACAACGATCCTAATGCGATATATGAGTTTGTTGTATATGCTGTGTGCTGAAATTCTTCTTTCTGTACAGAAAAAGTCATAATGGTAACTGATTAATACTAGATATAATTTTGATTAGTTTGGCATGGTCCAAAAACAAAACAGCAGAAAAAAAAAAAACATTCTTCCACAAATGAGACGAAAGTTTTATTTGTCAAGACTTCAAACTAGATTTGCAGTAAGTCAGGTATGAAATATTAGTAAAATGTTTTGACTTGAAGAGACCTACACAATCATGTCTGTATGAGCAGGCATGTCTCATAACACCCTTGACCATAAAAATTTACAGTGCTCACCAAATAAGACCCTGGTGTAGTTGGCTAAACTCACTCGTTTTGCCAAAAGGATCTTCTATAGTTTGCAAATACTAGAGTTAGCTTTCTAATGTATCCCTTACCAATGAAATGACCGGATATTTTAATAAATATATTACCCATTATAGGATGTTTATCTAATGGAAGTTCCAGTGTGCATATCCACGTGCACTTGAGCATAAAACAAGCAGAATTGTTTAGTATTAAATTGCATCAACTCCAAAAAATGAAACTAGATTAAAAAGGTTGTTCTAAATGTGAGGAAAAGGTTTAGTCTATATTCAACAAAAAACATGTACACTCTCATGTCTCAGTTTCTGGGGTTCTCATTATTGTTTGAAGGAATTGTAAAATGGTTTAAAAGAATGCGCCAATTAATCATCTTACCAAGACATGTTCTAGTAGAAGCTGAACTATTAACTGCTCAAGTTCTTCCTTCTTGAGATCAGAAACTGGCTGAATGGAGTCACCTGATCATATTATAATAAGCAGTCTGAAATATTTATGCAACAAATAATCTAAATGAATACAAGAAACATAGTTGAAGAAAATTTGTGCAATACATCTATAGTTGAATAAATAATTGATGACAAATACAAATTAATTGACCAAACAGTTGAAATGTGTCTCATATATAAAACACAGTGCAGGACTGCTGACCAAAATTAATGTAGTTAAGTGATTCAGAGATATCATTTTAAGTTTTCCCTTGTTAATCAGAAACAAACATTTTAAAGAACTAGACTGCGTACTCGGTATATCTAACCATGCTTTAGAAATTCAATGCCTCTACCACTTTATCTATTTAAATTATGGGGTATCAATTTTGTTTGTTACCACAAATTATACCAACTTGAATAAGGTTGAGCAGACACAAATATATGTTGGCTTAAATGAGAAGTGTATACAGCAATCTGAGTTATGAACTTATGATACATTGTCCTTGTACAGAATCATCTTAGGCTTCAATTTAATTGTGAGATCAGATTCTATAAAGTAAAAGAGGGTGAACCTAGTGCACAAGTCGCCTGATAATGTAGAGTTTGGCAAAGGTTAATATACATTGCCTTAACCATTACAAACAGAGAAGGCAGTTTCATGATTGCAACTCTGATTAACCAGGTACTAAAATTTAAAAGGGACTACTTGATGCTCACCTCAATGCAGGACCTAGAAAAGGCCAATGTACACAACCTTATCTCTACAAATAAAGATGATATTTATGACTCAAATCTTGGTCACCCAAGTCATAAAGGACAAACTCTATCATTGTTCCGAATTCTGCATTGGTAAAGTGTCTAAAAATTAAAATGTAAACCATAAAAAAATTTGATGTACACAAGATATCCTCACCATTTAGAAAATTCAATCAGATCATACTTAGATGAAAAGACGGAAAAGATTGCAAAATTATGGTACTACTACAATTTTGACCAAAACTCAGATGCCGTGTTTGATCTTAACTAAAAATATACGTTATATCGGGTGGATATAAATATGAACAAAGAAAGCATGATTTTTTCAAGTGGACCTACCCAATTCTTTGATTTTCACTTTAAATCTCTCCACCAGTTGCAACATTGTTGCTCTTTGGTCATTTTCTTGTATTTCATGTAACAATGAAACAATCACTTTAGCATGATCTGAACAGAATACACAAACTCATCAGCAAATATATGTCTTCCCTGCTTGGAGATAGAAAAAGTACAAAAATCATGTAATTTCAGCATTTTAGCACAAGGAAAACAAATTGTGTAAGGCACAACAGATATTATCAGGTGATATATAGCAAAACTGTAAAAACAAAGATAATTTTGTGATACACATACAAGAAATCCATTGTTTGCTGTCACTTATGCAAACCTTTAGTGTTTTTATCATGCTTTGTAGGTAATTGATCTACAACAGGCTTTTAGGTCCATTTTCAATATGGACATATGTTCCCTTGGTACTTCCCTCTTGGTCATAAACTTGTGTATATGCTTATTATATGATGAGCAGTTCCTTGCAATGAATGCAAATTCGGCCAGATGGGTACTTACTGGACAATATTTACAATTCCAAGGGTGAATCAGCATGTGAACCACCAAATTTCAGGCAGTCCACGTGTGGTATAGGCCTTATCACTAGGTAAGTCTGGTAAACGAGTGATAAACCCATTTTTTTCATTTTTGACCATAAAACCCATGCCTTCCTCGCCAGGGTGTAACAGTCCAACCATGGACCAGCATGATATCGATAACTGAAATTGAAAAACCTTTGTTGCTTGGTTACCTAAATTAGGAGTTGGGATAGTACAATGATACAAGTGAATTCTGGATTCAAATTCAGAAGATCTTCTTACTATTAACATCGTGTACAGTTTCCTTTATCATAATAAAACTTCTGATGTTTATACTTTAAGCAATCCAAAAAGCCAAGTTGGATAATGAATCCACTATTACTGCAGAATTTTTTTGTTTACACATGAAGTAAGCAGTCAACACTTGATGAGCATGGCATGTTATATTAGTGAGAAAGAATAACACTTGTATATGAAATACTCAAATGATGAACTATTTGCAAGATTAGAGCTTCAAAAGTGGAGTCCACTCAAGGATATTAAGCTCACAAGAGGATGATGGTCTGCAGCATGTAACCAATTCTTAAACAGGCACAGAATAATGCTTAAACAAGTGGAAATTGTTTATCAACTAATCTCAATTTTTCTATTTTTTAAACATAAAAGAATTAGATGAATTTAATGTTCAATCAATTATCTAACATGGAAAGCCATAGAAGACAAAAGAGTTACATAAAACGACATTGAGTGTAAAGACAGAGCATAGGACAGCATAATTAAAGAAAATAGTGATAAAGAATCTTCCACATACAGGTTGCATCTAGCTCCTTAACTTCAGCTTCATATGCACAATTATCACACATCCCTGAAGTTTTAAAAGCAAGGATAAGTATGGCTTGTTAGCAAAATATAGCTATTTGAAGGAAATTTAAATTGGCAATTGTACTGCAATTTACAGAAAGCATATTAAAAACCATTGCAGTTCTGTATAGGTTCCCCAAAATGCTGAAAGAAAGCTCCTCGGCGGCAGTTTCTTTTAGACTATAAAAGGAAATGTAGAATTAGAAACCTTCAAGTATTCTTTTTCAAAACAGAAACAAAACCATTTCCTTTCTATCAGAACAGTGCCAAAAGTATAATTAGGATAGTTGAAGAATAAGTAAATTGAGAATTGATTGTTTAAATAAAATGATATGAAACTTGAATAGAAAAGGAAATGTATGTCATTTATTCCACCTGACAATATCGTACGATATCATAGAGATTCTGCAAGCCAGCATTCTCATAAAAGACCATCGTACTCTGGCTAGGAAGAATAATGACTCTTTAGTTGTCAGAAAAACAGTATGATGCTTGACAAATCAATCACAAGTTTCACCTGACGAGGAACATCGCCTGGTCGATAATATAAAACACATTCTGAAGGAAGTCCATCCCTCCCAGCTCGACCACTCTCCTAAGAAGAAAAAATTAATGGAGACGTTGCACAATACAAGAGACAGGATTAGTTGAGATTACCTGATAGTATGTCTCCATTGATTTACTGAGGCTATGATGAATAACAAACCTGACTAAATATAGTTGAGAAAAATGAGCTATAGTGCAACTTATAAATGTATTTTGGTACAACAAAAGTTTCTGAATTCTAGCTAAATATATAAGGCTTAGAGTAAAACAATCCATGTAAGATTTGAACTACTTTAAGAGGAAGTTGTATACTAGAAGTGTCATTTGATGCCATTCAAATTATGTAAAATCAACTCTCATGCATCATTCTTTTTAGCACATGCAAACAAATATGCATATATTTTGCACATTAACACAAGCATAATATTCAGAGATCCCAAGTTCTTAATTCTATGAGCATAAAGCTCATCAATATACAGCAAGGGAACTTGATTCATGAGGTAATTTTCATACTTGTTTCAGTCTAGTAAATGTGATGATATCAATATTCTGATAAGTGGATGAAAGGATATGACTAGAGGAAGTATCTTACATGCCTTTGTTAGGCATTTAAATGGTTTATAAAAAAAAAAAGTTAAGAACTAAGCAATGACAGGAAGATGGCTCTTGACAACTATGACAACAAAATTAGGATAATCAGAAATTTATCATATAGTATAGATATATTTCTTGAAAAAATACCATCTGGCTTATTGATGCCCATTCCAAAAGCTACCTGCAATATTATCAACGAATTCAGGGTTTTTCACTTAAATGACCATAAAAAGCAATATGAAACCACAAGGATATATACCGTGCCAACAATAACCTGTAGTTTGTTTTTACTCCAGCTGCCCAACAAAAGTAGAGATAAGGTCAGGTATGATCACCCAGATGACAATGTAACTAATGCATACAACCTATTAAATAGGAAGGAGTTTGGAAAAAACAAGTTTGGCATAATTTGGAATTTTGGATAAGTATCAACAAGAGTACTAGATTAGTTTCAAATGTCCACAAAATCATGATTGGTAAGCCACCTGACATGCCTTCCATATCATGCCAAAAGAAAACCTATCAATGAAAATTTCACTTACCAAGCAGTCAACTGCCAAAACAATAGCAGAACATCCAGCAACAAGGTGAGAAATTGCTGACTTAAAGGTAAAACAGAAAGCCTTAACCTATTCAATCATATCACCTACCTTTCTTTTTGTCATGATAACCACAATAGATCAATTGGTTCGACTAGAAAGATTGTCAACCAAGGCTTTATCCCGTCTGTCTCTGTTAGGGATGGATATTCAAGCAAGCCAGAATAATACCATGTCAACTAGCTGATTTCTACTGAACTGATGATTCTTAAGAGCTCAAATCATATCAGTTCTGATGTATTCTGTCATCAATTGATATCACCCTGTCACAAATCAATCAACTTGTCCCAACATGGCAACACCCCCAGTGGGGCTCAGGTTGAGGGAGAAGAGGTGAAAACAGACAGTGAAGACGAAGAAGGTAGAGGAGATGCGGAAAACCTCTGGAGGAGAAGAGAAGTGTAAGACAGAATAAAAAAGAGAGGAGAGGTGTAGGTCCCACCGCCCATCTATCATCAATACTCTGTTCAACCTGTTTAGATCACCTTTGATGACGCACTGCTCCTATCATTGGAGGGACAAGAAAAGGGAGATAGAAGAAAAAACAAGGAATTGTAGAAGTAGAAAAAGAAAGGAACTTTATCTTTTTTATCTCGTATTATAATACGTATTCAACATTATATTGCTTAAAAATATATATTACACTATTATGTATTCAACATTATGTATTCTACAAGAAAAATGAAGAACTATAGGTGAAATAGTAGACAAGGTATATATAGTTACCTGGAACCATGGTTTGCAGTACCGGTCCGTACCGCCCGGTACGGGCGGTATGTACCGGTCCGACAGGCTTCCGGTACGCGGACCGCCTGTTACCGGTCTGGTACTGTAGCAGTACTGTAGTGCTCGGCACGCCTGAATATACCGCTCGGTACACCTGGGTGTACCGAGCGATATACCGTACCGTACCGGTACCGAGCCTAGGTCGAAACTCCGGTACGATACGGTATTGCGAACCTTGCCTGGAACTATTCCGTTTTCCTCAAATGTCAAAATGCCTTTCCATCATCGATGAATTATTGATCACTACTCATAAAGCCCATGTCTTGAGCAGGGACACCCTAATGTGGGTTAAAGACCATGGACCAATTCAACATTTACATTACGCATAGTAAATATTCTACATCCATTTGTTTAATCAACTTTTTTCACTATCTTGAGTATATATATATATATATATATATATATTATATATATATAAAGTAACCATAGGTGATGGAGATCACTCCTAATGTAACACAGCTCACTTTTCTTCTTATACATGATCGCATGACTTAGCATTCCCTTTACAAACTCAGGTGACCACATCAAGTCAAAATTTATCATCCCTTGACACCTTGCTCGGAGATAAACTTAAACCATAAAGTTCAAAAAAACTTAGATATTCCAGGTACATGAATCTTTCTTCCATTATCTCTTCCTAGAAAAATTTTCTACCACTCACATTTAATACATTTCCCAGATCTAACTTAAGCATTTTAATTGTTTCCCCATATATCCATCCAGACCCCTATCTAACCATTTTTTAGATCCTGACCTCAAAGAACAGCTAGAGATGCACAACTCATAGATAAAGCACAGGTGAGAAAGATGGCCATATCTATCACCACCATAAGAAAACAAGCATAACAAACAAAGTTACTAGTCCCATTTATTGGTAAGGTTCTGAGGTATCATCTTTTTCTTATATGTTCAGTCACCATCAGCTTCTCTTGCTCTACTCTCTCTTTACAGCTTCTGTCTCAGATCCCACTTCCACCCGATCCACAGAAAGTAATTGAAAACCTACTGGTGTATACAGGCCAACTAAACGAGCAGTCTTTCAAAAATACTGCACAGATTGACAAGAGAAAGAGGAATTATTTTTATTGTGTATTCTTTTTCCTTTTTTGTGAGAGGGAAGAGAAATGTGTGATTTTGATGATAAGTAGTTTGTTAAGGATGATGGAGCTTACAGCAGATGAACTTTCTCACGAGCAATTACATCCATGTCAGCATGGTAATGATCTGCTGAAATTCCACGTCCCCTCAGTTCCTTTGCAACCTATATCATGATAAGCATGGCAGAACATTATGAACTTTGATAAAGAAATTAATAAGCACAAAAATTCAGACATAAATATTAAAATGAGAAGCATAATTAAGGATTCAAATCCCAAAAATGCAATATCACCATTCATGTAAAAGAAAATAATGGAAACAGAATATATATACAAGGACATTTACTCACCTTAACATTGTTAAATTTAGTTCAATAGTGTCAGCTTTGTAAGATTATACAGAAACACAATTAGCAACCTCGATCCTCTACTGAAAGTCATGATCCAGAGAGTATATGCAATACAATGGCATATAACTTGCTTATGCTGGTATATGGACTTTTGGATAAGTAGCAAGAATAACGGCAGTATATCCAAATACATATAAAGGTTTCAAGTTTCACAAGACATCCTTATCCTAGCCAGATATTCTTTAAGTATGTACAGCACCAAATAGTAAGGTTCTAAATACCAGTAGCAACTAGCAAGAATATCTGAAATATTTAACAGTCTGATGGTTGACCAGTATGCAGACTGTACAGTTTCACCTAATCCAGTTTGATAATGGGTGTACCATACGGTAAGGTTACCTTACTGAGTATATAACCCAATAACATAACCGATTCGGAACTATACCGGATGGTAAACCTACCTCCTAGTGTCAGTTCTGAGACTTCTTTTTTCTGTTTTTGAATGTTTTAAATATGGGCTAGGGAAAGACTGTAAACAAATGTTGACAGCTACCAACCACTGCATCTGCCTCTATATCCAGCTGTTCTCTTCTGTGATTGCTGCCTCCTCCTCGCATTGCCACTGTCCTCCCATGTACATCGTCGCCTCATCATCTCCTTTGCCTCCTCACCTCTCTTCTCTCCCTTTCTCCCTCTGGTACGGGTGGTACCAACAATCAGGGAATGTTGGTACTTGATTGCTTGGTACATTGATCCTTATTGGTACCAGACTGGTCCAGCTGCCGACCAGTATCAATGCAATATTAAGATTTTAAACCTTAGTGCTTAGAACTAACTACACATGCCCCATTGTGCTTGTGCCACCCACGGATGTGTCATCAAGTTCAACAATGGCATGATATTTTAATTGCCTGTGCCATAATTTCATGTGTTGCTTTAAAAATTATTGTCATTTCTAATAATTGAAGAAAACGACAAGATTTTAGCTAAAGTTATTTCCTCATTTATAAGTGAAGTTCTTTACCCAAATGAAGTTACAATAAAGTTAAAGAAATAGGTCTTCTTATTTCTCTAAAGGATTCCTGATTATGACTGACGACAACTGGTTGGTCATAAGTAAAAAAGAAAAAAGGTCTCACTTTGGAAAAAAAAAATCCTTATTTCTAGTTGGTTTGTTCATGAAATTTAAGTACAATGTAATCACATAATAGTTCAGCCTAAAAGACTTAAAAAATGCAGGATGTAGTAATCAAAGCAACCTAATTAAGGCTACAAGCACTCCACAAGGCTGATGCGCCAGATATGCTGATGTTCCTTACTAAATTTGTATTCGTGATTCTGAAAATAAATTATGGCCGGACATGAAGTAGCATATGCAGAAATATAGACAAGTTGTCCTTGCAGATTTTCACCAAATAAAGCAATCTAATCAACTAAAAGATATCAGAATGAATTGAACAATAACCCCTAGATGACTTTACTAGTGAAGTACTACTGCTTTCAACTTCAATCTTCAAACAAATTGGTAAGCAATTTAAGCAGCTTCACCTAAAACTATTATGTAGTGACCAGACGCAGACCACCTCTGCTTCACTTAATTTTCAGTTGGAAACAACTAAAAATAATCCGAACTCAAGCATCCACATCAAAGAATCGATTTGTCATAGGTTTTTATTGTCTGGACCAGAAAAGGAGTTGCAAAGCCTTCTACCATATATTCACTTAATCAATAAAATATTACTTTAGAGAAGCGAAATTAGTTTCCGCCAAATTATCTACCAAGATAAGAAGTATTAGTCAGTAAGATAAACTCAACCGTATGTTAGGAAGATGAAACCTACTGAAATGTATATGATACTTGATAAACACCCATTAGATTATACATCTCCAAATTGGAAGCTGCAGAACTAGGATAAATTGGAAAATTTGGAAGCTTAAATAATTTCACTGCAGCACTAGTATAAATTGGAAGCTGCAGTTAGGAATACAGTTGCCTTCTGATCAGATTGATGGATGATTAGTTCCTGTACAGCAAAATTCTCATGTGATCTAATAAATATGAATATTTAACATGCAGCTGTGACGAAAACAAAACAAAGGATGGTTGCCAAAAATGTAGCATGATTCCAGAAGAAATTGGCAAGAAAAATCATAGGGACAGTAAAAAAGGAGGAAAAAGTAACACAAAGGAAACAGAAAAATAAAAGGGGTCATCAATCAGAGAAAAGCTACTTGCACTTGATAAATTTATTGTCCAAGTAAAAAACAATATAACAGTGACCATCTTCACTAAGTAATTCGAGAACCCATGTTGTGTCGCCAAATTAGGACTTCTAGGGCACCGAAAACTAATCTGGATTTTATCCTTATGAGTTGGCATCATATCTAAAACTAAAATATACACACCTCTTTTATATATAATGAAAAAAGTGATGTAAAACATCTGAGAAGTGCCTCAAAAATGCAAACAAGACGCATACAAGATAACTCATCCCTAACATGTCATTAAGGTAACAAATAGCTGAATCAAAAATTTATAGACCCAGACGTAAATGGTTTTCTGACCAATCACCAAAGAGAATCATCTATTGATTAAACAAGTATTGACAGTTTGATCTAATATGATTTTTTTTTCTTTTGACATATTGGGTTGCATTTGAAATGCAAAATAACAGGCAGTCGAAATCTTTCTCATAAAAAGCATAAATGGGCTGATCCTATATGACTGGCAGCATGCAGCATCACACTGATCAAATTGAAAAGTAAGCCCTTTGTTGGTTGGGGTGCAACAAAGATTTTTAGTTTATACATAAACATTAGGAATCAGATGTAAAGTGAATAATATAATAGGACAGTTCTACAAACCTGCTCGCATTCCTTCCTGGAGAAGCAATAGATTATCCCAGACTCATTCTTAGAATATGAACCTCGTATAAAATCTGCAATTTCATCAATGACCACCTTCCCAACTGATGACTTCTCATGTACCTATATATCAACTGCTTCATCATAAATCATAAAATAATCCAAGTTATGCAACAAAGGCAACTCATGACATAATGGTGTACATGCCACACCTTGTAGAAGAGATTAGGTCTGTTTATGGTACTGACAAACTTGACACATTTGGGAATATGCAGCATCTCCATCAGATCTACTTGAACCTTATAAGTAGCAGTTGCCTATAAAACAAAAATTATTACTCTAAGAGTCAAGACAAACAGTTAGGTTTTTCCTCAAAAACAGGTTACCCATAAAATTTCAAAGGTAAACATCACAAGCAAAAACTTACAGTTAAAGCAATTAAAGGAACAGTGGGAAATTGAATTTTCAAGATTCCAAGATTCTTGTAATCAGGCCGAAAATCATGGCCCCATTGACTACAGCAATGTGCCTCCTGTTAGATGAAATTTTCAGCGAGAAACAACTATGAGCACATAAGAAAACACATTTAAGGCATGAAATAATTATGCTATTACTTTTAAAAAAATCATTATCATAATGTAACTATCTCATGCAGAATGCTTAAAAGGTGCTCATATTGAGCAAATCATAATATTTATTATCAAAAGGAAGTGCTCCAGCTAAATTGAGAACAACTGACAGTTTAGTGGGTTTTGATTTTCACCTACCCTTCAATATCATTGTCGCTCCCAGATAAAGGGGTCATTTGGTTCAAGCATAAAAAATGTAAAGTGAATTAATGTTATGTTGATATTTTGAGCTGTTATAAGGAATAAAGAGAAAAATTAAACCACCTACACTTTTTCTCCTTAGCAAGGAACAAGTAATGCAGTAGCAAATGGTACAAGTTACATTGGAGTTTTGATAGAATGAGCTATCCAGTTGGTTAGGCACCATAACTAGACAATCTATTCCCAGTACTGTGACACTGGAAAGGTTGTTATTGGAATAAAGGTAATCTGGACACACATTCCTGAACTAAGGTAATCTATTCCCAGTACCATTATGTAGGCATAATTCCTTTTAAATTAATCTATTCTGGACAACTATCACAGCCATCGCAGAGATCAGTTACATGACATGCTAATCATTAATGAATTTAAAAAGGATTATTAAATACTGAAGGCAAGAAGCAATAAACACAAAAAATATGTTTTGTCTGGGCAAGTTAAATATTTTTAAGGCTTTAAATTGTCCAATAGATTGTGTACAATGCAATCTGCAACATAAGAGCCCAACGACCATTAGATGAAGGTAAGCCCCACTGCATAGTGAAACAAAGGCATGATTGTTTGTTATTCATCTTTCTGGTTCTGAACTTGACTCTAAAAAGACATAATAAGTACTAACTCTAAGTAAAAACATGTCTAGCAAAATCCACTAAAGTAATCCGAAAAGGTTTAAAGAACATAAGAGAAACCATTACTCACATCAATTGCTATAAGTGAAAGACGTCCACCATGGTGGCACTTTTCAAGCTTAGACATAAATCTCTTGCTCTTTGAAATTTTTTCAGGTGTCACATATAATACTTTAAGTTCTCCTTCTCCCTTTTCAAGGGATTTGTAAATAAGTTTCTCATGTTCCTTGCTAGCCGTTGACGTTAGCATGTATGCAGGAATCCCTAGTGTTGTCAGTCCCATAACCTGAAAAAATGGCATGTAAATTAACAAGTACTGGAAGTACTGAACTGGATAACAACTGAATTTCTCTGACCAAACAAACAGCACCTGATCTTGGATAAGCGAAAGCAGCGGACTGACAACTAGGGCAACCCCATCACAGAGTAAAGCTGGAAGTTGGTAACAGAGGCTCTTGCCACCGCCTGCAGCCATTATAACCAAAACATCTCTCCGACTCATGACAGCATTAATAATCTGGTAGGAAAATTGTGCACTAAATAAGCTTACAATAAGACAAACATTTTAACTAATAGATTCAAGATTTTGACAGCACTTTTAATCTAAGGGTTGTTAGCAGCATGACCCGAAAGAGGAGGTAGTTTAAACTTTAAAGCTTCCAACCAATGTGTATCAGATATGCTTGCCTCGTTGACAGGATATTTGATTATGTCAACCCACACCATCAGCATGTTCATCACATGCCAAACACATGCTAGGATTTATAAATGGGATATGTATTTATATATTATGCATGCACCTATTGTTATGTTAGTATATTGCCAAAAACTAAAAATCATGCAGGCACACACCAGCAAAGACACTTTAATGCTATGTTTATTAACTCATGAAACATGACCACTTTGTACCTTTTATTTACTCCCTATGTGACCATTTAAACCTCATACAATGATGAACTTCTTAATCAAATGTACTCTTTGAATAAAATCATCAATTTTTTTCTAAATTCTCTCTTGGTTTCTTCAAGTAGTCCAATATGAGTGTCATAAGTACTTATGATATTCAAAATCTCTTCTTACAATACAAATTTAAATACTATAATCTATCCCCAACTCTTTTCACTTGCATAACATTGTCATTAAGATCCTTATCTACAATAATATCTATACCATATTTAAGCTTATCTTTTCTATTATACCAACTACTAGCCTCTCTAGATTTTCCTCTATTCACTTAGTATCCTCCAACAAATTATGTAAAACCTTCTTCTAATCATCATATATAAGATTCTAACCCCTTGAGTTAAAGTGTCACTATAAGTAATATTAATAGCCTAATCCTATAGGCTTGATCTAACTTCTTTATCTGCACCAATTGAAAACAATTCAAGAACCACTGGCTATTTTGCACTACATCCTGACTGTTGGATCAATCTCCTGGGATAACCTTCATACTTGGATCACCAGGGCAGTGAAGATGTCTTCTCTTTCAGATGACAACATAGAATAAGTTATAATGCAGATTCATGTTGGCTATTAAGTGGTCTAACACAACCCGTCACCTTTATTTTCATTCGGGCTTGGCACCGACATTAATGGTTTTCTTTCTCATGTAGAATATTATATATTTAAAGTATTTGTATCACTGTCTTATAACCCCTTGTTTTCTAAAATTTGACATATTAGTTTATCCATATTGTGTCATATTGATATCACTTATCAGTATCAATGTTTTAACAATCTATACAAATCGGAAAAAAAAAAGGATCTTGTATTTCGAAGTGTGATTTTCAGATGAATAATTTCAATTCTTCCAATACATCAATGATTCTTGAACTTGAATAGTTGGTTCATTCATGCTCGACTAGCATAAACAAGCAAGTACCTTAATCATTTAAATGTGGCTGCACTACAACAATATACTTACTTCTCGCTGATTTGCTCGATAAGAAGAGATACTAAAGACATTGAATCGAATGTCCTCAGCTCTAGAGTCCCATTCAAAATCTGCAGACCAATCATCTGTGGCAACAGAACTATCAACTTGTGCTGTACTTTTTGATGTTTCACATTCTTCCAACAAGGCCTTCAGCTCAGATTGTCTCTTGTGCAAACCCTCTTGGCGATCAAGTAATGCTTTAATCTGGTCTGGAAAAGGCAAAATCCGAAAAATGAGTGAGTCACTATCCACATTCTTCAACACAACTATTCAAGCATGCTCCAATAAGAAGGAAGCATACAATATGTTTCAGACCTTGGAGAACCTGTATGATTTTTTAAGTTTTTTTTGCTTTTTTCCAAATATATTGACAGTTTTGTTCGATGTACCAATTTCAATGTTCACTATTTTAAGAGGAACAAAATTTTCTTTATCTTGCCTAAAACCCCACTATATGAATATGTTATCAAGAAAACATAACATAGACCTAATTAATAGTACAATTGCTTTCAGCTTTCACAATTCCATTGAAGACCATTTCTCAAATTTTCTTTTTTACTTAATCAATATATTCAAATTCTATAGGAAATAAGATGTATGACCAATGCCAAAGAAGAGGATCCAAAATGAAGTTGATATAACAACAAATAACGACAACAATAACAACAACAAAACTGTAAGTCCCAATTTTGGGATCGACTATATAGATCTTTTGCTACCATTGAGATTTATAAAAAGTCATATGTTTGTTAAGTTCAATGTGCTTAAATCTTTATTTATAGTTTCTATTAAGGTTTTTTTAGGTCTTCTTTTACCTCTACTACCACTAATATTAATTTTTTCATCTCTTCTGACTACCACATCTGAAGTCCTACTAAGCACATGCCTATACCATTTGATGAAATTGATAAATCCAAAAAACCCATAAAAAAAAAAGATAAGCCTTTATATTCTATTTGTGGTTCTTGACAAACCATCATCTAAGTAGACATTAGACCATTTTTCCAGATAATAATTGTACGTGTTCCTTTTGACAGTGTTCCGATGAGTTGCATATGAGAGGATTAATTTTGGATCCCCGAGGACCAGTGACTGATTTACCCATTCAAATCAATAAATAAAGATAAACAAAAAGCTTGTAATAGCACAATAAGGGAAAGATAGCAGTGCCTATAATAAGCAATGCCTACATCTAGCATCTTCATCCCTGTTGAGCTTTTCATGTTCATAATTTGTCTCTCTTAGAAGTAGCTTTAGTGATCTCAGTATATTGGAAATAATGGAAGTTCAGAAATCTACGGGGCAGGAAAAGAAAAGAGAACAACCGCTTTTACTGATTTTGCTTTTATTGATGCGTTTTTACCCTCAAGATTCCAAAATGCTTGCTTGTATAAATAGGGCCTCCAAAATTTGACCGTGGTTGCAGGGGTAAGATCCTAACAAAGACACCGAAACCGGAAAACTAGGGCACATAAACCACCAAAACAACGCAAACAAATCATTGACGCCAACAACAGGTACTGTGAGCACATCCCCCTCGAATAAAATGTTAAACCTACATTACCCGAAATCTTCCAGAAAAAAAGAAATAAACCGCAAAAACCCCGACTCAGATTGAGCTGATGATCGCTCCAATATCTTCTCCAAGGAAAAGCGTCTTGTTGCCCCTACCGAACCCGAACTCCGGAAAAGCGACAAGACAGCGCGAGAGATGAAAGGCAACGGAGGTAGAACGAGTAACTATTAGTAGCAGAAAAGCATTCAGATTAGGGGAAGACAAAACGATCCCACTAATTAATCTGCACGGCGGGTTCAAGAAGCTCGACCAATGAGAAGCATCAAAACCCCTTCTCTTCTCAATTTCTTCACCAGATTGATCCAAGAATTGTAGGCTACAACCGACAGCATTCCGAAGATACGAAAAGCGCGTGATAGAAAGACGATTAAATCGGTGTTCCTTCTTGAACACCCTAAATGTTGCCACTTCTTTATATTTCTTCGTTTTGGGGATTGGGGTTTCGCTCTCGCTTGGTGGAGGGTGCAACGGAGGCAAGCAAGATACCTTGAACGTCCTGGAGCTCAGCTTCGACGTAGAGGAGCTCCTCCGCAACGACGTCGGCGGTCTCCATCCAATGGAGGGAGGTTCGGGCGCCCACCGTAGGTTGCCGCGGTGGGTTTGGGAAGCGACCTTCACGCTTCAATTCAACTCAGTGGGGCTTCGATTTCTCGGCCCACATATCTGTCACTTGGGCTGTCTCGTTCTGAACTTACCGGGCGGCCCAATGACGCTTCCTAAGATTTATCGCAGGCTTACATTTTATTAATCTACATTTACATCATATATCTATAGTTATAATTATATCTACATTCAACGAAGAGGTGGGCTTAGAAGTCGGTGCAGTCGGCCTGAGCGAAGGAGAGCTCGTTCGCAACCAGATCGAACTCAACATGGAGGTTCTGCTGCGCAACGTTGCCGAAGATCTGGAGATCAACGGAGCTAGACGCCGCCAGGCACACCACGTCCTGCGCCACCTCTAGGAAGGTGTTCAACGGGCCCAGCTTCAATGGCGCCCCCTCGAAGTTGTAGGTGATGTCGGGAAACTTGTAGTCGCGAGAACCTTTGACGTGGAAGCACGCTGCGTAGGTGGAAAGTTCGGGATCGTTGGCGACCGGGAGATTCACTATGTCTTTCACTGCTTTTCCCAGTTCGTATGCCATTTCGGGGGAAAGAATGTTCAGCGTCGTGCCGGAGTCGATGATGATGTTTGGTGATCCGGAAGTAGTAGGAGAGGTCGCCGAGATATTTGTGTCGCCGACGCTGATCCCGTTGAGAGTTAGATAGTAGAAAGAATCTTGTATGGTGAGGGGCGTGGTCAAGACGTCACTTCCGGAGGCGCCGGAACCATCGCCGAAAACTAGTTTGCTGGTGGCGGAAGTCTGCGACAAGGGAACCAAGCAGTAGGAGAACTTGCCGTCGATGGAGGAACCGAGCTGGGAGACGAGGGAGAGCTGCCCGGGTCCAAGTCCCACGAGCCCACCCGTCCTCTTGCTGAAGATGCCGCCGCTCTGATGAGAGCATCCGAAGGTCATACTGGGGATGGCGATCGTGTTCGAGCCGGTGGTGGTGAAGGTGAAGGTCTCGCTCGCCAGATTGCCGACGACCTGCGATCCGTCTCCGTAGATGTACTGGTACTGGCACTTGGAGTTGCTGCTGCAGCCCGACACGGGAAGCTCCTTGCATGGCCGCGAATCGCATGCGAGGTCGCGGTAGGTGGAAGAATCCTTGGGGTCGAAGAGCAGCGGTGTCTGCTCGTAGCATTGAGTGCAAGGCTTGCAGTTGGCCCAGATGAGGTCGCTGCCGGTGTCGACGATGGCGACGACCTTAAACTTGGGGGTACCAAGCTCGACCTCGATGAGGTACTCGGTGAGGTCGGGAAGGACTTGGGCCTCGATGGAGGTATCACCGGAAGCGGCGAGGCCGGCACGTGCAACGCGCGATGGCCGGAGGGCGGAGCGCTCGGCCGCTGCTCTCACGCGGTCGAAGGCGGTAGATGAAGGATCATACAGCGGGGACCGGGGCGAGTCACGATGGATGAGGTCGACACGGAAGCCATCTGCGGCAGCCCCCGCGGCGACAGCAGCAAGAAAGATGGCAAAGGCAATGGGCTTCATGGTGAAGAAGAAGAAGAGAAGAGGAAGAATGCAGCGAACTGAGATGGTGTGGGGTATTTTTAGGGAGGGGAAAGGGAATCGTCGGAGATAATGAAGCAAGAGCTGTCCGAAACTGATTTGGGGAAAGAATCCGGAGGGACAGATCACCTACTGTTTCCCGGTGGGCGGCGCGCGGCGGTCGCTGAATGGAACGGAAGGGTCGGAACGGGAAGGCCAGTATCCTTCCATGACACCGAGGATATGCATATCCTTATCTGACCCGGTGGCGTCCACCGGAAACACATCAAAATTCGTGCTGCCGTTTGAACCTTCAAATTGAACCGGTTGGTCCCTTTGTTACGAGGAAGAAGAAACACATGAGATTATGTTAATTTCCAGGTCGATTGGCTTTTAATAGAAATAGAAATTTTGTATGTGTTTGGATAAATCATTATTTTAATACTTGATCATATCTTTATATTTTTTAAATTAGAAGCAAGAAAATATTTTGACTATTTAAAAAAAAGAACTCTCTCCTTATGGATGGGTTAAGTTCAAATTTATGTTGAGCAAAATGAAAAGAGAGACTATAAATAAAAATATAGATACAATAAACTAATAAGAAATTTAGTTTATGATGTCATTCCTTATCATAAAGGAAATTACTTTCCTTATAATAAACAATTTATGATTATCTTCCTTTTCTTGCTATAACGAATGAGAAGAAAGTTTGTATTTCCTTATAATAAACAAGAAAGCTTATGATTATCTTTTTCGTCACATGACTTATATGTCACGTGCTGATTGCGTGTCAACTATTGATAAATTTCTTATCATTTATCCCTTCTGGAATGCATACTTCATGGTTTCGATAGGGTGTTCGAGGCACATCGTTTGATCATTTGGTTTTATCGATATCAAGTTTCGCGATTGTGTAATGATTTTTATTTATTCGTCATAGCGAATATATTCATCCACCATAGCAGGTCTGTTTATCTATCTTAGCGAGCCTATTTGTCCACTATCACAACGGTTCTATTCGTTCACCATAGTGGGTTTTGCTATTGACCATCGTTGTGGGAGTGGGAGTCCGTCATTGCGGATTTTGCCTTAACCGCCATTGTTGGAGCTATTGCGGATTTTGCCTCGATCGTCATTACGAGAGTAAGAGTCTACCGTTGTGGATTTTGCCTCGACCATCTTTAAAAGAGTAGGAGTCTGCTATTGCATATTTTGTCTCGGTCGTCATTGCAGGAGTAGGAGTCTGTCATTGTGGATTTTGCCTCAACAGCCATTGCGAGAGTAGGGGCCCATCATTCCAGATTTTACCTTGACCATTGTTGTGAGAATAGGAGTCTGTCATTGTAGATTTTGCATTGACCACCGTTTGTGAGAGTGGGAGTTTTCTATTGCAGATTTTGTTTAGCTCGTTGTTGTGAATTTTGCCTTGATTGCCATTGCAAGAGTAGGAGTCCACCGTTGTAGATTTTACCTCAATTGTCATTGTGGGAGTAAGGGTCCGTCGTTGCAGATTTTACCTCGACCACCATTGGAGTAGGAGTCTACCATTGCATATTTTGCGAGGGTAGGGGTCTGCCATTGTGGATTTTGCCTCCGCCTCCTTTATCTTCGAGAGATGGGCTTTCCTCCTTTGCCTTCAGGAGAGGGCTCATGAGCTCTCTTTCTTCGCCTTTAGGATATGGCACATAGACTCTCCTCCTTCACCTTTAAGAGAGGGCACATAAGATTTCCTTCATCGCCTTTGGGAGAGGGCACATGGGATTTCCTCCTTCGCCTATGGGAGAGAGTGCATGAACTCTCCTCCTTCACCTTTGGAAGAGGGTGCACGGGCTCTCCTCCTTTACCTTCGAAATAGGGCACACGAGCTCTCCTCCTTCGCCTTCAAGAGAGCATGCATGACCTCTTCTTCTTTGCCTTCGAGAGAGAGCATTGGTTTGGGGCCCTATCATAGCGGGAGTGTGGATTTATTGTAGTGGCTTGGTTCAATCGCTGTAGAGAGTTTGACTATAGTAATGGGTTAGGTCATTTTTGAAATACCTTGATTAGTTATTCCATCTAGGGGGGAGGGGCCTTATCGAGGTCTCGGGGGTCAATGAGTGGATTCTCTGACTTCATCTTCTGTCTTAGCACATTGAGTTATTTTTAATATGACATGATTTAGTTAGCTTTTGATTATAGGGCTATGGAGTTTGAATCTTATTGTACCACTTCGGCTATCGGGAGGTACTTTATTTAGTACCATGACCATAGTGCTCCCATGTGTCTCATGTTTTAGTTTTTGTTATTTACTATGGTTTGTGCTACTTGAGCTTTTTTTTTTTTTACAAGTATGGATCCCGATAGTCGTAGTCTTCCAGTATCTCCTATTGAGCTTTCGAGCTCATGGAAGGTCGAGTGAGAGTCTTAGGTCAGGCTAGAGTGGTCTACATAATCGTGGGCTCTAATGCCTTTAGGGGGTGATGGCTCATCCTACCAGGGTCGTGGGGACTTGATATAGGCATTGTAGAGGCGCAAGTGTGCCGTGAAGACTGTTTTTTTGCCACAAGTGCCCTACCTTGAGACGAGAGACTATGAGGACTATTCTCCCCCTATCAAGGTTTCTCTTAACGGGACTGTGCAAGGTGGAGGACGTGCTGTTGAGGGGCTATCTTGTGAATATATGTGTACTGACCCTTCATGTCGGTTGGGGCCTCTTGGGCCCCAATCTCTTTATAGGCTATGCTCTTATCATCCAGGGTTATTCATGGCTTTTAATATGGTCAACTAGCCCCCTATGGCCCTTCTTATGACTTATTGTGAGGGGATGACTAAGGATATGAAGATGTGGGAGAGCTCCTCGACTATGGGTGGGGCTTGCTGAGATTGAGAAGGACTTCGTATCGATATAAGTAACTTATTACTTTAGAGAGCCTTAAGACCAAGTACCTAGGAATGTGTGTTGAGGAGGAACCATTCACTCTGCAGACCGAAGATCTCGATATCCTTGAAGCATATGTCTCTTTCGATGATAGCCTTGACTCATCTTTTTTTTTTTTAATCCTTTTTGAAGGGTTTCAATTTGCATCTTTCGGATGTGAGCCCTCGATTGTAAGCGTCGCACTAATGCAAGCCTCCTACTTTTAATAAAATTTTCTTTCTTCATGTGCTATTATATTGTGAGCTTTTTAGTTGAGGTGATACTTTAAGGACATAATCCTTTTCGTTGATGTATTACGCTCTAAGGTAGAGCTCTATATTCTATAATCTTAAGGTGATGAGTTCCCTCTCGGGTGTAGCCTAATATTATTACGTTGGTGCCATTGGTTGGAGAGCCAACATGGCCTAATTCGATCCCGAAGCGAATATCCACCCAAAGGGCTCGCTCAGGGGCGAGGGTGCAACCCAAACGGGGGGTTGAGATGGCAAGTAGACTCCTAATGTGTTGCTAGCATTAGGAGTCCCTAACTTTCTACTCTTCTTTCAAATTTTTCTTAATGAGGTGATATTCAATAAAAAAACCTAACATTTTATATAA